GGTTGCTAACGGTTCCTTGACCAATGAGCAATTTTTGCTTTTCTGATAATGAACCACTGACAAGTAGGTATCTGTAAGGGGTGGATTATTTCCAATGGCCACAAAAGTAAAGGAACATTCTTCCCATTGGCTATCATGCTACTGTACCATAAGCTGTAGATACAGGTTAACTCTTGCAGTGTGAGGGGAACCCACTGCAAGGGTATTTTTTGTTCAGTTTTAAAGCTTGGGAAGAGCAGATGATGTCATAGAAGCTCAAGCAACTGTATTGTCAGCTTCTTCACCCATTAGGGCACTGAAGTAAGTATATGGGAGAACCACAATAAATTGACAAGCTGTGTTTTTAAAGTCAGCCCATTACTTTGATCAGAAACACACCTGGATCCATAGCTCTGCTCATGACTAGCTCCCCTGCATATAGACAACTGGGGTACTGACACAGTTCATCTCTACTCTTCATTGAAAATAGGAAACAAATCAGTCGCACTTCTTGCAGTCTTTTTATTAATTCATGCGTTGACTGCATACAGTGATGTCTCCAGCCCAAAATCACCATTCCTGGCTTGTTACCATATCCTTGTGAGCAAGCCAGGAGTGGTGAAACGCATCAAGGAAGGCTGGTGTTGGGTTGGAGACATCACTGTATGCAGTCAACGCACTGTTTATTAAAAATACTACAAGAAGAGCTAATTGGAGCGCAGCTGTTTTTTTTTTTTTTTTTTTACGATTTACAGACCATTACTTGGTTAATTGAAGCTGAGCAAAGGCTAAAAATACATCAACAGACATTACCTTCAGTGAAATGGACATGCACATAAAATTGATCCTGAGATAAAGGCAGCTGTAAGTATATTAAAATGTAAATTGATTTGTAAGAGTCAAGTTAAGCCCCACCCTCCAGCCTTCCTACTAATCGGTAAGACCTCTACATTAAGCTAAAGGACTAATAGGTAGCATCAGGGCTGGAAAAGGAGTGGGGGGAAAGTATGAGGCTAAGTGTAACCTTTTAGGTCTCATTTATGGCGATGGCAATTGATACCACCCAAAGCGATCTTTGGTGATTTGCTTTTTAGAGGGCGACAGAGCAGCAGCTTCCAGGTATTCAGAAGGCAATACAGTTGTCTCCTGAATGCTTTTTCTTTTCTTTTTTTTTTTTTTTTTTTTTATATACAAACGGGGGTTTTGCATATAAGTACCGTGCTGCAACCACAAACCAAGGTGTTTGGTTCTTGGTTGTGGTGTGGTCCATTTGGCTTCAAGAGGCAAGTTTGAAAAGACGTCAAGTTAATTGCCTATATTTGTGACATGGTAGCTTCATCGAAATACTAATAGATTACTGACTAAGCATTGTATCTTCGCAGTCAAATACTACAGACTTGCAGTCGCCGACTCTTGGCTGATTCAAGAGGTATGTGTTAACAGTCTGTGTACTTCCCCTTTAAACAGATGAATTGTGGATTTCTAAGAAATTATTCACAGCGACTGCAAACAAAACGGGAACAGGTGGTCACCTCTGTCAGCCACGGACCCCGGCCCTGCAGAGATGTCAGGAGATAACAAGTTTCTTAAAAAGCACATGTGGTGCCATGTTGAGGCTGCAGACGGCGTGTTCAGTCTTGCTGTTCAACAGGTGTGGACACAAGCCTGTGACATGCCCTGACTATAGCACATTGGAATCTTAATATATGTCCAGGATTTAGCTAAGTGCAGTGCTAGTGGATGTCATAAAACCCTCATAATGTAGAGTTATGGAAGGAAGTTTCTCTATATAAACAGTTCCCATTCCAGCAAAGTTGATTAACCGTATGCTTCTCCTTTATCTTATAGGCGTCTGTGCACTACACTGGTGCCATATAAAGAACTGTTTATATTACCTAATTACAGTGTTGATATTACTCCTCGTACTGTTATTGTAGAAATTGTGTGATAATGTGGCAGGAGGAGGAAGAATAATTCAGGAGCTGTTTATTATAAGCCAAAAACTCCTGAATACACTGTACATAACACAGACTGCCGCATGGAATCCAAGCTGTTGGGAATTGTGGGTAGAAAGCATGCATTAAAGTGATTCTAAACCTCAGGCATGAAGAAAGAACAAAGCATATTCCTCTATAGTGTGTACTTGTCTCATTCCAGAGCACTAAGTGTCATTTGGTCATTCCTCTGCCATCTGCATGAGTCACTGCTGACAAGTTTTCCTGACATCAATAGAAAAGAGGTGACAGGAGAGGGAGCTCCAGCAGACAGCCTGTGATTGACAGCCTCAGCTCTGTTCCTGTGTGCTGTATGAAGGTGTGTCCCTTCCCTCCAATCAGCTTTCAGAGCTATTCTCATTGAGCTCAGCTGAGTGTAACTTCAGGTCTCCATCCCTTGCTTTTTGGAAGTTCAGACCAGCTTTATAATTTCTGCACTTTAAACAGATGTAGAGGAGAGAAGGCTTCAGATACAGGTACAACTTATGTAAGAGGATTTGTTTCATCTCTATATATCACCTGAGGACAGTCCCTTCACTGGGTATACAGTATGTAAGGTTTTACAACCACTTTAAAGCACAACTAAACTTTTGGCTAAATCACTTAAATACAAATTGGCATCAAAATGAAAGGTGATCAAACTCTTAGGCTAGGTTTACACTAGCCCATTTTCTGAAAAATTATTTGTGGTGGATTGCTTTTCAGAGTGCATCTAAGCAGCCGCTGTCAGGTGTTTGGGGGGTAATCCTGCTGCCTCCCGAAGGCCTGTGTTTTTTTTTTTTTTTTTTTTACAAGGGAAATAATACACTGCAAGCACAGTTCAAGCATTAGGGAAGACCCCATTGACTTGAATGGCTGAGTTTGGCAGACAGTGCCGCCTGTTAATGCCGCATTAAATTTCACACATATACAGGCCACTCCAGCTATTGTGGACTTTGGGTGGTCTGGAGGTGGTAAAATTGTGGCTCAATTTTCCTTTTTTTACTGTCCTCCCACTGCCTGTGTGAAAGAGGCCTTAGGGCTCATGCACATGGGTGTAAAATCATTGCTGTCAGAGCTGAAATAAAACCCAGGACCCTGCATTCACTATATCCAGTCTCCCACAGTACCCAAAATATGGAAATGCAATTATTTCAGTAAATATAAACTACTGAATACCTTTTCTCATCAGCAGTTAGAGCATTCTTGTGACTTCAGCTGAGCACTGGTTAAAGCTTGTAGGAGGAGTTTTTTTTTCTGCTCTAGGAGGATGCAAAACCCCTGACCCTCTGTCTGGACAGTGCTGATTGGCCCTGTGCTGATCACTTGCACTCTCCCAAGCAAAAAAAAAAAAAAAAAAACTTCTCTAGCAATACACCCTAAACTGAGCATGAGCAGAAGGGTTACGGTTCAATCTGTCTTATCAGCGTATACATTTGAACAAGAGGAAGGACAGGGAAGTCGGGATCAAACAACCTCTTTACACAATGCAGAGAATGAACCCCTTAGGTTCCACAGTGAGTATAACAAGCACACTTTACTACATATACAGACAGAGTTTACTGTTGTGGGTTTAGTAACACTTGAAATATGTAAATTTTTTACAGGTCTGAATGCAGCTGTAGATAATTAAAATCTGGAGCTGCACAGAGCAGTGTTTATATATATATATATATATATATATATATATATATAAAAATCTGTGCCCAGAGTCCTGTGTATGGACTGCATTTTAATGTACAGAGGCATGGAAGCCCTTACAGTGTGTGAGAGCCATTTTTTTATGTGTTCAAAGCAGCCTGGAGCTTCATCCGGGTAGTCTGTTAATCAATGAAGATGCACCTGCTTTATGGCTTCACCGATACAAAGGAGTTTGCCAGGATGCAGGGATGGATGCATGATTCCAAACGCACAATCAGACTTGGAGGTGCGGGTGATTCCTTACAAGTGATGTGACTTCATTGGTTAACACAGGCTGTCCGTACACACCTCCACATTGCTCTGAACACATAAGCAAACGGCTCTTGTTGTATGGGGCACTGAGTCATATGATCCTTTGTGCTAAACGCATGTAAAATGTTTGAGCTTACAGAGTACATGGACCCTGCTGTCCATTGCCACTACGCGCGGGGCCAACATACAAATGTCAAGGCAGAGCGCACTGGTCGGGGTCCCCAGTGCTCCACCACGCCTCCTGCACTTTATTCCAATCATTGGTGCTCCTGCTCCCTGTGCATGATCTGGATTCCCCTGAGGAGGGGTGGATAAGTCAGCAATGGCCCTTAAGGAATAAGTATTAAACTTATAAAAGAAAAAAAATAAACATACATTCTCCCCTCCATTCTGCAGCACCATAGTGATGCTGCAGCTGTTTCATGTTGGCTCTAAGACAGAGAACTGAGCAATTACATGACAGCTGATTGCATAGCTCTTGGAGTGGAGAGCAGTGACTGTCAGTCATGTTCTCCACTTTGCTTCTCCAGAGCTCTCTGTAACGCCTGGCTGGAGAGGGGGCAGGCACAGCTGGCTTTGACTCTGAGCTACATGCTGAGAGGCGGAGCCAGCTGTCAATCGTGCAGCTTCGTGGACCTGACAATATTGTTGAGATCCTTCCAGAGCTTGGTGCAAATCAGTTTGATAGCGGACAATAGTGAGCAGAACAACAGCGCATGAATTCTTGTGACCCACAAGAGATGTATGGCCAAAAAAACTTTGATCATACTTACTTTTTAGCCATATATCACATTTAGAGATGAGCGAAGAAATGAAAAATTCGATTCGACTGATTCGGCGAATTCGTGGACAATATTCGATTCGAGTCGAATAAATTCGCTGTGAATTTAACTTAAAAAAGGGTGTTTCTAGGCTTCAGAGAGACTTAATATTAGTGCAGAACACTGTACCTTTAATTTAAATGCCCCTTGGAGTCTGCTGGGGAAGAGAAATAATACTGTCAGTCAGTATGACATGCAGATGAGTGCCGTCGATCTTAGAATCACAACCGCACACTTCACTCATTTGGGCAGTCACGGGGCCAAAACCAGAGTGTGGAGCCACAGTGTGGCGGTGGAGGCAGCAGCAATGGAGGCCATACAGCACCCTATGACAAAAATGGAAACCACCAGCAGTGTGAGGAGACCTGAAAGTGGCACATGGCAGAGTGTGGCGATAGAGACAGCAGCAATGGGAAGGCCGTACAGGGACCCATGACACACTCTGGACCTGGCAGCAGCATGAGGAGGCGGTAACAGGGGCCCATGACAGATTACGGGCCTGGCAGCAGCATGAGGAGTCGGTACAGGGGCCCATGGCAGATTACGGGCCTGGGCAGCAGCAATTGGGAGGCCGTACAGGGACCCAAGACACACTCTGGACCTGG